TCCTCCTCCTCCTCCTCTTCTTCTTCCTCCTCCTCCTCTTCCTCCTCTTCCTCTTCTTCCTCTTCCTCTTCCTCTGCTAAATAGGGCATGGTTTCCAGATTCCTTACCCATACTGCAGGCTCCAGTTTCTGCTGAAGACACACCCTTAACCGATTTTTCTACAAGAATTATAAGGCCGAGAGAAGTGGAAATGCCCGCACCTTCATTTTCGCCTCTTAGGCAGCCGTGCTGGTGAGCCCCCGAGGGAGGTTTCCAGAGGGGCAGCCATTTTGTGCCGTGCCTCACGAGCTCCCCCCCCCACTTTCCGCCACATGCAGGTTTCCACCTGAGCGGCATCGTGACGGAGCCTCCAGGCCCCGCCGAGCCCGAGCACAGCTACCACGTCTCCATCAGCTTCGACCGCTGCAAGATCACGTCGGTGAGCTGCGCCTGCGACAACCGGGACATCTTCTACTGCGCCCACGTGGTGGCGCTCTCCCTGCACCGCATCCGCCACGCCCGCCAGGTGGAGCTGCGCCTGCCCATCTCGGAGACCCTGTCCCAGATGAACCGGGACCAGCTGCAGAAGTTTGTGCAGTACCTGATCAGCGCCCATCACACGGAGGTGCTGCCGACGGCTCAGAGGCTGGCGGACGAGATCCTGCTGCTCGGGTCCGAAATCAACCGAGTGCACGGTACGGGCTCCTCGGCGCCGTGGGGGGGGGGGAACGGCGGCAGATGTAGCCCAGGTAGCCCACCCCGTTTCCCCCTTTCCCACAAGGGAGATTGAGGGGTAACGCGGAGGAAGACAAAAGCGTGAGGAAGGGCTCTCAGTGTTACACACGAATCCCGTATTGCTGCCCGATTCCTTGTTGCAGGGGTCCCCAGTTTGGTGTCGTGGTGAAGTGCACGGACTCTAATCTGGGAGACCCGGGTTTGATTCCCCGCGCCTCCACTTGCAGCTGCTGGAGGACCTTGGGCAAGCCACAGTTCTGTCAGAGCTGTTCTCTCAAGGGCAGTTCTGGAAAGAGCTCTCTCAGTCCCGCCTGCCTCACAGGGTGTCTGTTGTGGGGAGGGGGAGGGAAAGGAGATTGTCAGCCGCTCTGAGACTCCGAGTGAAGGGCGGGGTATAAATCCAATCTCTTTTCTTCTTCTTCTTCTAACCAGTTTGGTGTATGGTTAGGAGCGTGGACTCTAATCTGGGAGAACCGGGCTTGATTCCCCACTTCTCCACTTGCAGCTGCTGGATGACCTTGGGCAAGCCGTAGTTCTGTCAGAGCTCTTCTCTCAAGGACATTTCTAGAAAGAGCTCCCTCAGCCTCGCCTCCCTCACAGAGTGTCTGTTGTGGGGAGGGGGAGGGAAAGGAGATTGTCAGCCGCTCTGAGACTCCGAGTGAAGGGCGGGGTATCGATCCAATCTCCTCCTCCTCTCCTCCTGAGCCTGTGGCAGGGCCATGGCCAGAAATGTTTTTTGGGTGGTGGTGGTGGTAATTTAATTAATAACTGAGGAGGAGGTAGGCAGGTAGGGAAGAATGGCCCGCCCTGGTGCCTCACTGCGATGTGAAAAGGTTAAAAAGAAGGTTTCACTGAGTGGGAATGCATGCAAATCACACTGTCTCACTAGTGGAAGTTTTTTGCATGCTCTGACTGCATAAGAACATAAGAGAAGCCAGTGTTGGGTCAGGCCAGTGGCCCATCCAGTCCAACACTCTGGGTCATGCAGGGGCCAGAAATACCAGGTGCCATCAGGAGGTCCAAGAATACAGAGCATCACTTGCCCCAGACGGAGAGTTCCTCTCCATCCCTTGTGGTTAATAGCCACTGATGGACCTCTGCTCCGTATGTTTATTCAACTCCCTCTTATAAGAACCTAAGAGAAGCCAATGTCGGATCAGGCCAATGGCCCATCCAGTCCGACACCCTGTGTCACACAGTGGCCAAAAATACCAGGTGCCCTCAGGAGGTCCAGCAGTGGGAGCAGGACACTAGAAGCCTTCCTGCTGTTGACCCCCCCAAGCACCAAGAAGACAGAGCATCACTTGCCCCAGAGTCCCTATCTATACCTTGTGGCTAATAGCCACTGATAGACCTCTGCTCTATATGCTTATCTAATTCCCTTTTGAAGCCGTCCATGCTTGTAGC